TTTTTAAACTTGAATTTTACAAGGTATATATTTAGATGCATTACTGTTACAGTAGGTAAACAATAGGTAAATACCTGCTGTTTGTAATTCCTTGTGTGCTACCTGTAAATTCACCTTAAAAAAAATCACTTAAGGAAGAATATTGTAACACAAGTAAATTGACTTTATTGTAGGGTTTACCCAGAACCTGCTGTGTTAATGTATTTGGGCTATTATAACAAAATGCCATAAACTAGGTAGCTTGTAAACAGTAGAAATTTATTTCCTACCGTTTTGGAGGCTGGGAAATTGGAGATCAAAGAGCTGGTAGATTTGGTATGTGATGAGGGCCACTTTCTAGTTCATAAATGGTGCCGCCTTGCTGTGTCCTTGTGGTAGAAGGAGTGAAGAGTCTTTCTTGGGCCTTCTTTATAAGGACACAAATCTCATTCATTAGGGCTCTTCCCCCCATCCCAATGACCTAATCACCTCTCAAAGTCTCTGTCTTCTAATACTGGCACCTGGAGTTAGGATTTCAACATATGAGTTTCAGGGAGACATCAACATTCAGACCATAGCACTTGTTTTTATTTAATTTAGAAAGTAAATTAGTTGCAAACCTGAATATTTTATTATTGATTTTAAATAATTTGTGTGATTCCTTACAATTGATTAACATCGTTGTGCTGGTGGCATTGTATGGAAAGTTGTTGAACTAGTCTTGTTCTCAAACTGCAGTGTGCCTTAGACTTACCTGGAGAGCTTGTTAAAACAGATTGCTGGTTCTTACCCCTGTAGTTATTGATTTAGTAGATCTGGGTTGGGGCCTGAAAATTTGCATTTGTAACAAGTTCAATGCTGTTGATGTGGACCACACTTTGAGAATCACTATTTTAGGCAAGAAGAAACTATTCATATTTCCTTTGGTTTTCTTTCTTTTTGGCTTAACATTTGTAGTTCTCCACATAGTTTGGAAAATGACTGTAATTTGTAGTTATGCTAATATTTACTATTGCCATAGCAGTATTTTATTTGTAGATTTGTTTTTCCTTCTGTATTCCCTGGCTGTTAAGTATGCCACCAAATCTAGAAACCTGGAAATCATTCTAAATGCCCTCTCCAATTTAACTCCCTATATTTTTGTGGGGAGAGGAGGTGGCACTGGAGTTTGAACTCAGGGCCTCACGCTTGCTAGGCAGGTGCTCTTACTGCTTGAGCCACTCCACCAGCCCTAACTCCTTATTTTGGATTATAGAAATGATAGAAACCAATTTGACCTAGTTTAAACAGAAAGGAAGAGGTTATTATAATGGTACAGTGGTATTTCATTGAACGCAAAGCCTGGAGGTTTGCTGGGATTCCTAAGACTTAGGAACTAGAAAATTGTGAGAAGTTATGGTGAAAGTTAGTAAGAAAGTTCTACTTCTCATGCCCCTTTTTGTCTTCAGGGCTACCTGTGGTTCCGTCTTACTTGCTTCTTCCCCCCTCACCCCGCACCACTGGGGTTTGAACTCAGTGCCTACACCTTGAGCCACTCCACCAGTCTTATTTTTGAAGGGTTTTTTTGAGATAGAGTCTCACAAACTATTTACCTGGGCTGACTTTGAACTGTGATCCTCCTGATCTCTGCCTTCTGAGTAGCTAGGATTGTAGGTGTGAGTCACTGGTGCCCAGCCTTACTTGCTTCTTTCTCCAGTCCTGACTTTAATTACTTCTTAGTAGATCGAGTATTGCTCTGCTATTTAAAAAAGTTTAGTCTAGTTGAGCAAAAGGAGGAAAACATAGAAGAGTTCATATTGAGTAATTCCATTCATAAAAATTTTTTGCACATTGTATAATTATGCTGTTAGAAACCTGGAGTTCTAGAGAGATCAAGAGGTAATGACTAGAAGGGAGCACAAGGGGGGCTTTATAAGATACTGGTTATATCTTGATTCTAGTTACATGGGTATGTTCAATTTGTGAATATTCATCGAGTTATGTACTTAGGTACATGTGCTTCGCTGCAATCAATACTATACTTCTTATCTGTGTTTTCTAATTAATTTTTTCGGTGGCACTGGGGTTTGAACTCAGGGCCTCATCCTTGGTAGGCAGGAGCTCTACCACTTGAGCCACTCCACTAGCCCTAATACTATACTTCTTAATTAAGAATTAAAAAGACATCCTAGTGTAAAAGTTAAATTTCATATTAAATTCAATTTGTATTTTCTTCTCTTTGCTAGGTTTTGATAGAAAAGCTTAGGAAATAAGAAAGGTCATGATTCACTCTTTCATTTTTCTTCTCTTCTGTTTTTTGACTTCTTTTCTTTCATGTGCCCTAATGGGGAGTAAGGAATAGAGAGATTGGAAAGATTTTATGTTTTTCTTTTTGACTGGTGCTAATCAAGTCCTCTCTTGGTTGTTCCTTGTCTGGCTAAGATCCATGTACAGTGTAGCAGGCATCAAAATAGTGGTTTTCTCATGTAGCTTACATGTAAGTTTTTTTTGAAGAATGGCATATTTCCTTCTCCACATTGCCTTTGTATAGGACATCCACTCTGGATTGGTATCTTTGAAGGCCTCTTCATTTCCTTTTACCAAGAGCTTTTTACTGTGGATGTTTCTTCTATAGTGGCCAGCCCTCTATAGTGGGTTATCAGCATTAGTGCCCAAACCTTGCTTCCTTCCATGGTTTCTTCTTGATTCATTGGTACTGTTTTATCCTTTCCACAGCAAATGTCTGAAATATAGGTTGTTCTCTTTTAGACTTGTCTTTTTGCATTATTAACTACTGTTTCCAATTTACCTTTCTCACTGTTTATTCTTGCTACAGTTGCCTGGACACATCCGTTGCTTTGATGATTCAGTGCCTCAACTCTCTCTTTTATCATTTTATTCATTTTTATGCTTGGGCATTTGGTAAATTATGTTCTGGATAGTTACCAACAACCAGTATTAGTACTTTCTGTGTTTGTGAACTCATCAATCAAAAGACCTTAGAGGCTTTTTTCTTTTCCTCTTTTCTCAGAGAAGTTAGCATGACATGTTTTCTTCCTTTGTGGTTTTAGTATTTCCAAAGTGCCAGTTACTTGTTACTCTCTTTTTCCCCCCAGTGCTGGAGATTAAACCCAAGGTATCCTGGCTGCTAAGCAAGTACTGTACCACTGAATCATACCCCCAGCCTTGAATCTTATTTTCAAATGCTAGCTAGGTGACATAGATGTCAGTTATTTTATCTTGTGCTTTGTATTTGTCTCTAATGTCCCGATTACTTTGATGTAGTATTTATCTATGTTTATTACAACTTCTGCGTTTGTCTATTTTCTGTTGCTGTACCAAAATAGCCAAAGCTGGGTACTTTATAAAGAGGTTATTTAACTCAACAGTTTTGGGTATCCAAGAACATCTGCTGACTCTGGTGAGACCCTTTTGTCTATATTATATGATGGTGAATGGCTTCATGGTGAGAGTGTATTTTTTTTTTCATTTTTCTTTTATTATTCATATGTGCATACAAGGCTTGGTTTATTTCTCCCCCCTGCCCCTACCCCCTCCCTTACCACCCACTCCCCTTTTTTTTTGCCCTTATTTCTAATTTTGTTGTAGAGAGAGTATAAGCAATAATAGGAAGGAACAAGGGTTTTTGCTGGTTGAGATAAGGATAGCTATACAGGGCATTGACTCACATTGATTTCCTGTGCATGGGTGTTACCTTCTAGGTTAATTCTTTTTGATCTAACCTTTTCTCTAGTACCTGTTCCCCTTTTCCTATTGGCCTCAGTTGCTTTAAGGTATCTGCTTTAATTTCTCTGCGTTAAGGGCAACAAATGCTAGCTAGTTTTTTAGGTGTCTTACCTATCCTCACCCCTTCCTTGTGTGCTCTCGCTTTTATCATATGCTTATAGTCCAATCCCCTTGTTGTGTTTGCCCTTGATCTAATGTCCACATATGAGGGAGAACATACGATTTTTGGTCTTTTGGGCCAGGCTAACCTCACTCAGAATGATGTTCTCCAATTCCATCCATTTACCAGCGAATGATAACATTTCATTCTTCTTCATGGCTGCATAAAATTCCATTGTGTATAGATACCACATTTTCTTAATCCATTCGTCAGTGGTGGGGCATCTTGGCTGTTTCCATAACTTGGCTATTGTGAATAGTGCCGCAATAAACATGGGTGTGCAGGTGCCTCTGGAGTAACCTGTGTCACAGTCTTTTGGGTATATCCCCAAGAGTGGTATTGCTGGATCAAATGGTAGATCGATGTCCAGCTTTTTAAGTAGCGTGAGAGTGTATTAGAGAGGGAGACATCACATTGTAAGACAGGAAGCAAGTGAGATTCAGGTGCCAGGCTTACTGTTTTTATAACAACTCACTATTGAGAGGAACAAACCAGGAACCTTTAAGGAACAAACCACATCTAAAACATAGCAGCTGCCTTCATTGAAATATAGAAGATACGCCTTAATGACTATTTTTTTTCCATTTAATACTGCTAATTGGGTGGATATTGGCTTACATTGTCTACATTTTTATACTTTTTCTTAGAATACATGTATTTAGCTCCAATTATATAAAGAAAGCTTTAATCTAGGACTAGTTGACATTACAGGTATTTCTAACTTTGCATGATAGATAAAGGAAGGTCTATTATTTAATGTTTTTTACTAAAATTAGACACAGTGGTGCATGCCTGTAGTCCCAGCTACTCAGGAAGATGAGGTAGGAGGATTGCTTGAATCCAGGAGTTTGAGGACAGCCTGGCAATATAATGAGTGAGACTTTGTCTTAAAAAAAAGAAAAGAGGAAAAAGAACTTTAATCATCTTATGAGCCTCCTCTATTTTTCTTTTGGCATTTCATAATCAATATTCTGTGTTCTTGCACAGCATGCCAAGCCTTCTGACTGTATTAAATAGTAAATGTAAAATATTGGTATTTTTAACCATAACAAATATTATAGAAATGTTTAATATAAAGTTCTTATACTACAGAAGAGATACTAAAGACTCATGTTTTACTCTTTTCTCATTATAGGATGTTGTAACTGGACTTAGTCCTCTGCTCTTCAGGAAGCTCAGTAATCCTGACATATATTCATCCACTGGCAAAGCTAAACTCCAGCGACAACTTAGTCAGGATGACTGTAAGTTACGGAGAGGAAGCCTGGCCAGTTCTCTGTCAGGTAAATATCTGATTTTGGTTGTTTTTAAGTAATATGGGGGACTGGAGGTGTTGTTCAGTGGGAAAGAGCATGCTTAGCATGTGTAGGTTCTGGGTTCAATTGTCAGGACTGGGGGGAAAAAGAACTGTGGGGCTGTGTTGTATTTAAGGGTGTAACGACTGATGTGGCTTTTTGACAGCCTCTTCTCTGATAGTCTTATGTAGAACACTGATGGATAAGACTGTTTTCCTGTTTTAACTACTTCTTTATGGACTCTCTGAATGCTGACCACCTAAACCAGATAGATAGTTTTTGGCTGACCAATATTCGTGGCTACTTTCCTTAGTTTTATTTTTTGCTTTCTTACTTTTGTAGATCTCACTCCATTCTTTCTTTTGATTTTCTTTTTTTTCCCCTCCATTTCTAAATCCTAAAGTCCACAAATGTCTCCTCACCTCCTACAAAGAAAAGGCAATTAAAAAATTCAAGGGAAAAATTATGCAAAGAAATTTTGATCCAAATAAAAAGCAATGAATATGTAGTACAGTTTTAATCAGGTAAGTGAAAAAAGACTCTAGTGGCTCCCCCCATACCCCCCAAAAAACCAAACAAGTCTTCTTGATCATAGCTATAAAAATTAGATCAGTAGAGAAGAAAATGTAATCCTACTATATTCCTATTGGTCTGATAATAAACAGTTTTAAATTTTTCTTTCTGTTTCTTTTTAGAGCTATTCCCTTAGCTTTTATCTTCTCATTCTTGTATTGAAATTTTTATTGTGCCTGTCATGTATTTAATCACACACAGACATTTCGGATTTCCTTTTCCATGGACTTCTGCTCATCTTTTAGGGTTGTGTGATTATCTTCTAATTGTCGTGAGTAGGTTTTTGAATTTTGAATTGTTTTTAATTTAAGAAAATTATCTGGATCAATTCTTTTTCTTTTGACCATCCAACAAACAGAAGCTAGTGTTTTGCTCTGAAATGCTAAATAAATCTTTTCTATCCCATGAGGTAATTGCATGACCACTGGATTGTAAAAAGTGGAAATGTGCTTGCATTTGATCGTTTTTTTCTACAGAATTTTGAGTTAATCCAATTCCAGTCTTATGTTGTACTTTATGCCTTGTTTGGTGTTTTCACTTTTGAGTACTGACTCTATCAAAGATTTTGCAGGGCGAAATACTCTCTTAACTGCTACTTCATCTGTGCTTATTACAGTTTGTGTCTTTTTCTGCTCATTGGTTATGCTCTGCCTTTCTGTGTTAGATTCTCTCTCCCCTATTTACTTTTCTGGGGATAGCAGTATTGGAGATCAAACCCAGAGCCTCATGTACGCTTATGCAAATTCTTAACCACACGCTACACTTTTGGCCCTTTCTGAAAATATTTTTACCCCTTTATGTACCCCCAATTTTTACCCCTTCATAGTTAATGTCTGTCTGGCTTTCTTCTAGATGGCCTTTGTTTGTTTATTTATTTATTTATTGTACTGGGGTTTGAATTCAGGGCCTTGTGCTTGCTAGGCAGATGCTCTACTACTTGAGCCATGCCCCCAACCCTTTTTGCTTTAATTCATTTTCAGGTAGGATCTTGTTTTTCTTGTCAGGATCAGCCTGGACTGTGATCCTCCTACTTCACACCTCCCTCATAGGTGGAATGACAGGTGCACACAACCATGCACAGCCTTTTCATGAAATGGGGTCTCACTAACTTTTTCTAGGACTGGCCTCTAACTACTATCCTCCTAATCTCTGCCTCTCAAGTAGCAAGAATTATAGGTGTGAGTCACTGTGCCAGTTTACTTCTTTATTTTCATTTTTTTGGAGTTTCTTGGAAGACAAAAAGATCAAAACATTTGCTCACTGCTGCCTCTTGTTTTTGGTGTTGGATAGTGAACCCAGGACCTTATAGAAGCTAACCACATGTTTTACCACTGAATTGCACTCCTAACCTTTGCTCTGTTATCTTTCAATGGGCCACGTTTTCTTTCTTTCTTTTTTTTTTCTGTGTTATTTGTTTTACTGAATAGCAAGTAGTTCTATTCATGTTTTTCCTTCCATCTTATGTTGTTATGTTCCTCAAATTCTTGGCAGTCCTTAGTATGCTTCAAGTCCTTATGGTATATGCCCAAATGGGTTTCTACTAAAGTTTTATAAGCCTGTCCATCTAACAAGTTTGTTTGTTTGTTTATTTATTTATTTATTTATTTATGTGACAGACTCTCTCTAGCGCAGACTGGCCTTGAACTCAGATCCTCCTGCTTCAGCTGTCCAAGCGTGGGATTACATGCCTGTACCACCACACTTGGCTAGGCCTATATTTTGAAGACAAATGATACTAGTCTTTGTATGTATGGGCAGAATAAGTCAACAAGTTAGCTTTTCTTAGAATATATAGGTGAGGAAGGGCAATTGGTCTGGAGAACTGCACAGCATTTGCAATGAAGAAAAGAGAGAAAGTAGGTAGGCTCTACTTCAGGGTTATGGAAGTTTTGAGTAGATCATCATGAGTATTTTTTGGTGGTCATTGAATACAGAGCCTTATAGATACAAGGCAAGCACTCTACCACTGAGCTGCACTCTAGCCCTACTATTATTATTCTTGTGAAGAGTTTTATGGAAAAACTTTTCAGTAAGGGGTACATTTGAGAGGAGATTTGAAAGGTAACTAGATTACACTTTTCTGGTTTAAAAAAAGTAGATGAGTTATAAAAAATTGGAGTACAAAAACATGTATAATATCAAATTGAAGTCATTTATTTATTTATTTAGTTCTTTTTGGTGGTGTTTTGAGACAGGGTCTCAAAAACCAGGTTGGCCTCAAACTCGAGATCTTCCTGCTTCAGCCTCCTAAGTGCTAGTACTACAGGCATGTACCACCATACCTGGCTAAGTGAAGTTATTTTTAATCTTTACTTTTTTCCTATATCTTAGTTTTCTTCTTGTTTAGTTTTGCCAAATTGCTATCCAAATGAGTTGTATCATATTTTGTTTTCAACAAAAACAAGAAAGCTCTTAATGACTAAGATTTTGTGAGATACAGGGAGAATTTTCAGGTGAATTCAGTGATCAAGATAAAGTCAATTGAAAATACAGGGCATAAGATTGAAGTTGTCTGAGTGAGTAGGTATGAAAAAGCATGGAAGGAGTTGAGACGAAGAGCATAATCTGGATTTATGGGGGGGGGGTCTTTTTTAAAATGCCAAAATGTTTGACTTAATTCATTAAACCTTGGGGAGCCATCAGAGCTTTTTAAGGAAGGAAATGACATGCCCATGTTTATTTTGGTTAGGTTGCTAGCAGCTGTGTGAAAAAATGTAAAGAAAGGGGAAAGTAGGACTTGTGCCTCAGCTATAAAGTCATTGCAGCTCTAGACAATTAGTCTTTACAGGTGACTTTGATGTCTCCTTCAGTGAGATCAAGGCAGTCAGTAAGCCTGGCTGAGCACATTGAATCTGTTAACAGCAGTATAGACTTAGTGTTTGCCTTCTGGAATCCTAAGGGCCAGACAAGTTTGGAAGAAGTTGTCTGTACTACTCATTTTGAACTGAGTTGGTGAAAAACCAAGTAGGCCAAAATGGATTGGAGAACACCTGGACTGCTGGGTTGGGAGGGAGGCTGGCATGGTGCTGCCTATTACAGAGAATGGATAATAGTCAATTCATTTCAATGTATTAGTTGCAGTTTTTCTCATTACCAAGGCATTTGGAACTTGTAAAGTCCGGACTATAGATTGGCAAAGGAAGAACCTTACCTTGTTTGTATCTATATGATTTTACCTATTTGACATCATTACATTTATATTTCTTCATTAGTTTGTCAGCAAATAATTACATGTGTTTTCTGGCCCTTGTGTTTGAAGGTAAGCAGCTGCTCCCTTTGTCCAGCAGTGTGCACAGCAGTGTGGGACAGGTGACCTGGCAGTCTTCGGGAGAAGCATCAAACCTTGTTCGAATGAGAAACCAATCCCTTGGACAGTCTGCACCTTCTCTTACTGCTGGCTTGGTAAGTGTTAGTAAAGATGGTGGCTTACTCTGGGAACAAATCCTTGGTCCTTCCTTTGTCATTGCCACATTATTTTCCTTTGCTTAGATAATTTCTCAAAGTACAATACAGAACAAGAGTGTGTGTGTGTGTGTGTGTGTGTGTATTTATTTATTTATTTGGTGGGCCTGGGGTTTGAATTTGAATATATTCTGATTGCTGTCTGATGTTGTCACTAAAACTATTGGTGAGCATTAAGAAAAAGTCAGCATGGTTGTAACTTTAATAAGTAGATTTTCTGGGAAAGAACTTTCTTTTTATAGAAATGATTCTAAATCTTGTGAAACAGTGTTGCTTCTATGTGTAGCTTTGTGGTATATATATTTAGTACATGAGGAGAAGGGAGCACATATGGTACATAGTGGGTACTTAAATATATATCAGATGACAGTATGAGCTTTTCCTTTTTCTTGTGATAGACAAGACCTTACAAAGTTTAAGCTTTATAGTGTGAGCAGGTTGTTTTCTGCCTGTAACTGAATGTTGTTCTCTTTTACCTTTAGTGGCTCTGCTTGAATGTAAGGCACCAATTGACTTTCTGCCAATCTCATACTCTTCTCTCTATCCTTTAGAACAAGGCATACAGTAATTTTTGGGGTATAACAGAAACTTATTTACATTAAAATGTAATCTCATGTATACATTAGGATTTTAAGCCTTTTGCGTCAACATACATGGAGTAGAAAGCTTTATTTGTTCATCTTGGGAAGTGGGAGTAAGGGGAAGAAGTCTTCATGCAGTAGGCAAATAGCTAATTTTGGATCAAAAGATTTCCTGATACAACCTGAAATTTGGGATTCTTAGGCCATAGAGAGGGCTAGGATAACTTGTGGAACTTCTCTCTTCCTCAACTTTTAATTTTTAATTTTAATTTTTTTTGTAGTTTGGGATTTGAAGTCAGGGCCTCATGTTTACTAGGCAAGTGCTCTACCACTTGAGCCACTCCACCAGCCCTTTTTTTGGGTTGGGTATTTTCAAGATAGGGACTTGTGAACTATTTGCTTGGGTGTGTTTTGAACCATGATCCTCCTGATTTCTGCCTTGGGAGTATCTAGGATTACAGGTGTGAGCCACTGGCTCCTGGCCTTAACTTTTTATTTTGAAAATTTTAAACCCACAGAACAAATGATACAATGAACAGCCATATTAGTTTTACTTAGATTAACTGATTTGTAAACATTTTGCCATATTTTTTCTGTGTGTCTATTGTTTTTCTTGAAACATTTCAAAGCAAGTTACAGACATTATGCTATCTTATTCTAAGTGTTCCTCCTAAATAAAGGTTGATCTCCTAAATAACTGTAATACATTATCAGATCTAGGAAGTTTAACATCAATTTAATAGTTGCATCTAATATAAAAAATATTTGGTTTCCCTATTTGGTCCTAACCTATCTGTGAAATCTCTACCCCACCCTTCCTTTTTTAACTTTTGGAATCTGTCTGTCTGTCTATCTGTCTGTCTATTTTTATCTATATATATCTGTAGCTATATGACCAGAGGTGTGGCTCAAGTGGTAGAGTGCCTACTTCGTAAGTGCAAAGCCCTGAGTTCAAACTCCAGTCTTACTAAAAAAAAAAGTACCTTCAAAAATTTTGATCTGAAGGTCTAAGGGTAATACTAGGCATCTGCATTTTCTTTGAAGTGTTATGACTTATTCTAACATACCTCCTTTACAACTACTACCAAGATAAAGTTGAATGTCTTTTTTTTGGGGGGGTGGGGAGGGGTTTGACCTTCACCTTCAGCCATTCCACCAGCCCTTTTTTGTGAAGGGCTTTTTCAGGATAGGGTCTCTTGAACTATTTGCCTGGACTGGCTTTGAACACGAGATCCTTCTGATCCCTGCCTTCTGAGTAGCTAAGATTATAGGTGTGAGTGAGTGGTGCCCAACTACAGCCATAATTCTTGTTAACAAATTCTAGTTCAGATTTTTCAGAAATGTCATAGTCAGAAGTAAGGGTAATGCTGAGCACGGGAGCTCATGCCTGTAACCCTAGATACTCAGGCAGAGATCAGGAGGATCGTGGTTCGAAGCCAGCACAGGCAAATAGCTCACGAGACCCTATCTCAAAAAAACCCGACAGAATTTTGATTTCAGTCACTTGAGTGTAAAAAATTTGAAGGATTGTAATTGACTTCTAACTCAGCAGTCTGATATGACCACCAGTGTTAAATTGCAATATTCTTAAACCAAATTAGGATTATTTTTTAACTAGAACAAGTAGTATAATATTTCATTTAATACTTTATCATCAGTTTTCCTGTTGAATATGATATGCTATTTTGGGTGACATATTATTATGAACAATTTTTTTATTAAGGTGTAAAGATATTGAAGGAAACATATCTGAGCTTCTTTTATGCATTCACAACACAGATCACTTCTGTGATCCCCAAATGTGTGGGGATTTTTCCTTACTGGCAAGCAAGAAATCAGTTTTGCAGTGGATACCATGTGAGCATCCTCTAATTTAATTAAATTCTGACATTATCTACGTAGAAATAGTGTTAGATCCTACAGGTTGAGGACTTAGTCCCATAACTGGTACCCTTTGCTTCAGTCATCAATTACAAGTTTGAGCCTCAGGAATTTCTGACAGGCTACAAATTGGGGATTCCATTAGGGGACTCCCTTATTAGGTTTAACTAATTCGCTAGAATGTCTCACAGGACTCAGGGAAACACTTAATTGACCAGTTTGTTATAAAGGATATTTTAAAGGCTACAAATAAACAAGCAGATCAGACCTACAGAGGGTGAGATCTGAGGACTGGTAGAGTGACTCAAGTTGTAGAGTGACTCAAGTCGTAGAGTGCCTGCCTAGCAAGTGCTATTTCAAACCTCAGTGCCGCCAAAAACAGAGGGTGAGATTTGAAAGAGTCCTGACTGTAGTTGGGGTGTGCCACCCTCCTGGCACATGGATGAATTCTTGTTCCCCTTCCAAGGGGCCAAACATCTAGGTCCTCAGCTGAATGCCTTTGGGATTTTATGGAGACTTCATTGCGTAAATGTGACTGAAGCATGGACAACTATGTAGAAATGTGATTGGACAAAATGGGTATTATCTAATGCTAATAGACTGGGGAAACCCAGCAAGGCTGGTCTGTTTAGATTCTTCTTGGTGTCTCTGTACAGCATTCCTTCTTCTTAGGTATGAGGTAGGATTCCTTCTTAAATGTGGGGTCTTGTACTATCAGATAAAGTAGGTCAGAGAATTTCTTTATGGCCAGCTCTACGACAGAGGCAGGGAAATTTATAGTATATTTTAAGTTTCTATGACCTGCTTGTGGAAAAGAAATTCTAGTTTCCATGGACTGCTTTGTGGGAAAAAAGGAGCAAGTAAAAGAAGGGTAGAAGGTGGTTGTATTTTTATTTTTTTTTTTTTTTGAGGCCTGAAGTACTCTGACTTTATAACAAGACTGTTTTTCATCTTTATCACTCTGAAGAAACCAAGGACAAAAGCCAAATTTAACATCATTGTAGTCATTTAGGAAGTAGTAGGATTATGTGAGTTATATATTAGGGTCCATAGACAAAACCAAAAAAATATATATCATAATATTGTAAGATAAGATTCGTATAAAGTAAATTTAACCATTTTAGTGTGTGTGTTTTAATGGCTTTTAGTATGTTTATAGTGTGTGTACCCACCAGTTATGTCACATTCTAAAACATTTTCACCACCTCAAAAGAAAACCCTATGCCATTAAGCAGTTAACCTCATCCCAGCCACAACAACCACCAATCTATTTTCTGACTCTATGGATTTACCTTTTCTTAATATTTCATATAAATGAAGTCATACAATATCTGACCTTTTGTATCTGGCTCTTTTTACTTAGCATGTTTTTAAGGTTCTTTCACATTGTGACATGTATCAATTCTTCCTTTTTATGGCTAAATAAGATTCCATTGTATGGATATACATTAGTCCTTCTTAATCTACACTTTCAATTTCCAAGGTTTCAGTTACCATTCAGCAGCACTCAAAAAATATTAGATGAAAAATTCCAGAAAAAAACAATTCGTAAGTTTTAAATTACATGTTCTAAAAGCTTGATGAAATCTCATACCATTCTGCTCTGCCCTGACTGGGACATGAGTCATTCCTTTGTTCAGCTGTATGTGCTACCTGCCTGTTAGTCTCTTAGTAACCATCTTAGTTATCAGATCAACTGTCATAGTATCACTGTGTTCAAGTTACCTTTATTTTACTTTATAATGGCCCTGAAGTACAAGAACAGTGATGCTTATGATTTTATTATAATATATCATTAAAATTATTATGGTTTATTGTTAGTTGTTATTGTTAATATTTTATAGTATCTTAGTTTATAAATTAAACTTTACCATAGGTATATGTAGGTTGCCATGGTTTGAATATGATTGTGCCCCAAGGGTTCATGTGTTGGAAACTTTGTCCCCATTAAGACAATGTTAAGAGATAGTAGTACCTTTAAGAGGTGGAGGCCTTGTCTGGGGGTTTCTCTCAAAAAGGATTATGGTAGTTCTTGTGAGACCTTCATTAGTTCTTGCCAGAGTGTTGTTAAAAAAGAATGAGCCTGGCACCTCCTCACTCTCTTGGCTTTCTAACTTGTCATGTGCTCCCACTATTATAATGCCATCTGCTATGAGTTAGTGTAAGCAAGGGCCCTCATTAGGGGCTGAATTGATGAGACTCTCTGATGTTGGACTTTCAGCTCCAAAACTGAGCCAAATAACCCTCTTTATATATTATCCAGATATTTTGTTATAGCAATAGACTAATAAAGCTTATGGGATAAAACATAGTATATACCATATAGGATTTGGTACTATCTGTGATTTCACACATACCCTGGAGGTCTTGGAACATATCCCCTGAGGATAATGTATCACATTTTGTTTATCTGTTTGTCAGTTGGTGAACTTTTGGGTTTTTTCTACATTTTGGCTATTGCAAATAGTATTGGAATGA